CCCCAAAACCCCAAAACCCCAAAACCCCTTATTTTATAAAATAAGTAGAGCCGTGTTATTATTAATTTTTTGATAGAAAATGATGCATTTGAGGAGACTTGTTGTACGAAATAGGAGACAAACTTCAGGATTAAAGTCGATTTTGTTTAATAGATCTAAGATGATAATGTCAAATCATCTCAGCTCTCAATATTTCTGTACTCATTCTAAAGATATCCAAAACAAAGTGCTCTCAGATATTGAAAAAGGAGGAACCTTTGATGCTAGAAAGAGGACTCCAAGAATTATATCAAATGAGCTTAGAGAGAAGATCCGTGAGCATCAAAGTAGTAGTGAAGGAGAATACATGTTCAGCTCTGTTAGAAAGAAAGACATGCTTAAAGACTCAATCAACACATCAACCACTGCTTTCTCAACTTCGTACAATGGCGCTTTTTCAGGAATTAAATAATGAAGAGCATAATTTACAGAATGCTTTCACAACTGATGCACAGGGAGGTATTAAAATGTCCTTCAGCAGTGGTTCTTCTGGGAGGCACAGTCTTTCTGAGTTCGGTTCTTCTAGAGAGGACACCTTCAAAGCAATTACTAGCCGTAAAATTAACACAAGGATCAAGAATATCATCAGTAAGTCCTCATCCTCTAAATTTTCACAGAAAAAGGGAAAACAACTACTCAAAAAGAACCTATTATTGAAGAGATGCCACTTGACCTCCGTGAAGAGGAAATTGATGGGGAAATTTACTTCTTCAACAAGAATAATCACCGAGTCACAAGAGAAGGCATCCTCATTAGGAACCAAGAGGATATCCAGAAAATAGACTATAGCGAGGATGGAATCAATGGTGCAATTTTAAACTTAGAAATCCCTGGAACTACTATTATCCGCTCTAGAGAAGAAGCTAAAAAGGCAGTAGAGATACTTAAAAGATATCCCAAAAGAGTCCATGCATGGGATACTGAGACTATCAACGTCGATGTCAAGAAGGAAAGCATTATCGGAAAGGGAACTATTATTTGTGCCTCTTGCTTCATTGGTCCGGATGTAAACTTTGGAAACGGCCCCAGACTTTTTATCGATAACTATGCTGACGCAGAAGATGTTATTATGGAGTTTAAAGAGTACCTCGAAGACCCAAATTACTTCAAAGTCTGGCATAACTACGGATTCGATAGGCATATCTTCTTCGTAAGTAAATTAAAATATATTTTAGAATCATGGAATTGATGTTCAAGGGTTTGGAGGAGATACCATGCACATGGCAAGACTTGCAGATCCCTCTTCAGGTCCAGGACAGTATTCCTTGGCTAATCTCTCAAAGGCTTATGAGGATGATATCGTTAAGACTAAAATGGCCAAGATAAATTCAATGCTGAATGACCCCAATTTGGATAAAGAATCAAAAAAAAATTTAATGTTTTACAATGAGAATTTTACAAGAATTCAAAAATTCAACATGCGCAAACTTTTTGGGTACTACAAAATGCTGAAGAACGGAAGTGTTGGAAGAGTAATCATATTTCCAGAAATCCTAGAAATGCATACGAATCCATTGTTCATCAAAGACTGGGTAGAATACTCCTGTTTCGATGCAGAAATCACTTACTTCTTGAGGGAAACTTTGAGGATTAAGCTAACTCAGCTGAAATGAGATGCTGAAAGTATGAGGCATAATTATAATCTTTACCTCAAATACTGGAGACCTTTCGGAGAAGTTCTGACTGACATGGAAAGATATGGATTTAAGCTCGATCTGATGTATCTCAAAAATATGCAAGTTCAGGCGGAAAATGATAAAAAGGCTCACGAACAAGCCTTTCTTAATTGGGTAAGAGAGAATCAAGATGATGCTAAGGAGTTTAATCCTGGAAGTACGCAGCAAATGCAACATCTTTTGTTTGCTCCTTACTTCAAAGAAAATGTCAATCCTACAAGCACAAACTTTGAAGAAATGATGGAGCAAGGGAACTATTTTCCAAGAGTCAGATCTTTTAGGGTAGAGAACCTCTCTGGTGAAATAAAAGAGGGACGAGAGAAGCCACTGAAATACAGAGATATGTACATCTCAGGCTTTGGTATACCACCTGTAAAATATACACCCTCTGGTCTCCCATCAGCCGATGCTGATAGTATTACAAGACTTGTAGGAGATCCTCATAATGGGAAGTTTGGCCATGCTTATGACTACTTTGCTAATAAACTTGGAGAAAAAGCTAAAGGAAAAGAGCTTTGATTTGCTCTTGATCATTGGGTGAAGCTAAAATCTATCGATAAACTGCTTCAAACATACATAATTCCTTTACAGAGATCAGTTGGTACTGATGGAAGGATTCATTGATCTCTAAACATCAATACTGAAACAGGAAGATTGTCTGCCAGGAAGCCAAATTTGCAAAACCAACCTGCCCTCGATAAGGATGTGTACCAAATTAGGAAGGCTTTTATTGCGGAAAAGGGAAACAAGCTTATCGTTGCAGATTATGGCCAACTTGAGCTCAGAATCCTTGCCCATATGACCAACTGTAAACAAATGATTGAGGCCTTCAAATTGGGAGGAGATTTCCACTCCAGAACAGCTATTTCAATGTACCCTGAGATCAAAGACAAAATAGAGAATGGAGAAGTTCTTCTTGAATGGGACTATTCCAAAGGAAACCCACCAGCTCCATTAGTAAAAGATCTCTACGCTGCAGAGAGGAAGAAAGCAAAAATTATGAATTTCTCAATTGCTTATGGGAAAACAGCTCACGGCTTCGCAAATGATTTCAACTGTACCATTGAAGAGGCTCAAGATGTGGTGGACATCTGGTACAGAGAAAGACCCGAAGTCAAGGAATGGCAAGAAAATGCCCAACATATTGCAAGCACTGAAGGCTGGACTAAGACTCTCTTAGGAAGATTTAGAAACCTCTCACGGTTTTTTAAAGGCAGAAGAACTAGAAATCAGGGAATGAGAAGAGCAATCAACACTCCCATCCAAGGTGGAGCAGCTGATGTAGTAATCGCTGCAATGGTAAAAATTGCTAAAGATCCCATTCTAAAAGAACTTGGCTACACACTTCTGCTTCAGATTCATGATGAAGTAATCCTCGAAGGACCAGAAGAGACTTCAGAAGAAGCTCTTCAAAGAGTGATTCAAATAATGGAAAACCCTCTTGATGAGCCATTGCTCATCAAACTTGAAGTAGATGCTTCCATTGGAAATAACTGGTATGAAGCTAAATAATTTCAACAAATCAACAGAAAATTGGGGTTTTGGGGTTTTGGGGTTTTGGGGG